GGGCCGGGGATTTAGCTCAGTGGTTTCACCGCCTGCTGCGCAAGCGCAAGGACCCGAATTCAATCCCCGGTACCAAAAAAGGTGAAAAAAAAAAAAAAAAGAATGTACTGTGATGGTAGAAAAGAACCCTCCTACATTTCTGGTGAGAATGCAAATTAGTATAACTATATGGAAATCGATATGGATTTCTTAAAGAATTAAAATTAGAAATTTCACATGACTCATATCCCCCCTTCCATATCCCCCTTCAAGATATCTTCCTCAAAGAGATTAAGACATCATATTACAGTGATACACGCATACCAATGTTTATAGCAACACAATTCCTAATAGCTAAATCCTGGAAGCACTTTGTATACCCATCAACAGATGACTGGATAAAGAAAATGTGGTATAGGGGGCTGGGGATTTAGCTCAGTGGTTCCTCTGCCTGCTTCCACAAGCGCAAGGTCCCAAGTTCGATCCCTAGTACCAAAAAAAAAAAAAAAAAAAAAAAACAGTAAAAACATTCTCCTTTTCATCGAACAATGGAAATGTGAATAGAAAATATGACCCACGCCTTTTACTATTAAGATTATAATTACCAGGCCGGGGATTTAGCTCAGAGGTTTCGCCGCCTGCTACGCAAGCTCAAGGACCCGAGTTCGATCCCCGGTACCAAAAAAAAAGATTATAATTACCTATGTAGTCTCTACATTTTGTCCCCTTCATTTCAGGTACTGCTACAGGATTACTGCAAACCATATTCAAGTATATCTTCTAAAGTAAGTCAGTCAATCATTATTGTTTACGACATCTAAGGATAGGCTTCCAATTGCCTAATGTTCACTGTAAAAAGTTGTTACACTTTGTCTAACTAAAGTGCTACATACAGGAAAATCCTTAACTTCAAGTAGTGAGTAATTCCCAGCACACTCTGGAATATAGTTTTGACTTTTTATTGTATGTAGAGAAATAAAAATCCTTGTTTTCTCCCAGTTAAATTTTGACTTTGCTCCTTTACAGCATTACTGAAGGTCTGTCAAGGAGGTGTTACTCTCCCTCTCCCTTACCACAATAAGCAACAAACAGCTTTTTTAAAATATCAACAGGATGTATTGGTGATGTTTGCTAAGCTAACACCAAATAATTGTGGCAGGTGACATGATGCTCCTAGGTCCAAACTAAAGAATAGTTTACTATATTCACAACAATAAGAGTAACCAAAAATATCATGCACTGGCTCCCCAAGCTCTAATTCCTAAGGGTCAATGGAATGAGAATAAAATGATAGCTGTACACACAATGGATTTCATTACAGGACAAGAAACCTGAGCTTATGAAACTCCAATTATTTAATGGAACTGTAAGCAAATATGCTCAACCTTTTTCCCAGAGGAATTATCTTAATTATACTGGACAGCAAAGAAATCCATCCTCTGTCCTGACAGAGATGCTCTGTCAGATTTTCTTGAAAAAAAAAACAGCCACTAACAAAAGCTGTCAATGCTTCTGCTAAACAGATATGCAGAAACACAGGAAACCCGTAAGACTCAAGAGAAATGTCTCCCAATATCTATCATTTATCTTTGTCATAAAAGGCTAAAAGATTTTTAGACAATCAGGATGAAGCTGTTGTAATAGGTGAGTAGATGATGTTTCAGGAGGAAAAAGCACAGCAAAGTGGTATACTTTCTTCTCTCAAAAATCTGTATAAATCAAACCACTTTAATCTATACAAATTGCAAGTTCTTATAATGTGCTTATTCATCAAATACTGCAAAGTAAATAATTATACATTTGAATCTTATTTTTATACTTATGGAATAGTATCTTGAATAAATTTTATCACTAATTTTCTAGGCCAAGAAATAAAACAAATTATGAGTTCTGAACTAATTATACCTGTTAATACCTTTTGTAAATGAAGTCCTATAAAATAAAATATAACCCACCATTTTAGGATAGATTTTAAACTAAAATTCTGCTATGATTTGAATATGAAGTATCTCTCAAAGATTCATGTATTGAAGGTTGATCTCCAATGTCACACTGTTCAGAGGTGGGGTCTAGAAAGATGATTAGGATCATGAAGGCACTAACCTCATCAATAGGATTAACCCATTGATGAGTTCACAGCTGCATGGGCTGCCAGGAGGTGGGGCCCAGTTTAATGAAAATCACTGAGGTTATGCCTTGGGGACTGTATCTTGTTTGCAGCTCTTTGCTTTTTTGTCTGCTTCCTGACTGCCATAAAGTAAGCAGCTTTCCTCCAACATGCCCTTCCACCATGATGTTTCCACAGGCCTAAAATCAATAGAGATAGCTGATTACGGACTGCAACATCTGAAACTATGAGCCAAAATAAACCTTTTCTACTTTGTTTATCTCTGGTATCTTGCCACAATGACAAAAAGCTAACAAATTCTAAGGTCTTTTTTATCTAAAGTATGTGTGAAGAAGGGGGTCTTAAATTCTATAAAATTCAAATTTACCTCCAAATGTTTTGAAGCAGTTATAAAATATAAGGTAATTTGTTCTATTTTTCTATCTGTATATTCAATATCAGCATATTTTTGAAAAATAAGATATCTTGAACCATTTAAATTGTGACCTGTTTTAACTTAAAAACAACTTAAAATAACAAACTAAATCAATTAAATTAGTAAGTTAAAATAAATTAACTTTAAGTAAACTTAAAGTAAACTTGAATTTTGTAAACTGTATTAAATTGAACAGTTTAACTTGATCTCAACCCTCAAAGTCAAGCAGGTGATGTCAGGATGAAAAAGTAGGGTGATAAGTAAAATAAGCATTATACTACATGTTTCCAAGCAGCTATATGATTAAAAGCATAACACCTCACCTCAGGATATACAATTTCCTATTTACAAAAAAAGGCATTAAGGGTCCATTTCACATAAAATGGAACACTAAGGGTCCATTTCTCCTTTCAGAAAACTCACTTCTTACTTTCGTGCCCTACCAGTCTTGGAGAATCCACATACACAAGGTGCTTTAATAAACTTCAAGTAGCCCAATGAAAGTGAGGCTAAGTAGTAATACTTGTGCCAGAGATTTAGTTCAGTGGTTTTGCTGCTGCACAAGCACAAGGACCCGAGTTTGATCCCCAGCACAAAAAAAATACTTGCTGCAAAATAGTTCCTTTAGAAAATACCAAAACCTAAAATGAAGTTCAAGAGTGCAATAATCTATTTTAGAATTCAAAAATATATACCTAAGTACATGAAATATTAATACAATTTTGGAATACATATTCACCCTAAATACTTACTCTATGCTCTTTGGCAAATAAAAACCTATTACTTCTACATGCTAGCTGTTCATATCTTTCCTACTACTGACTTTCAGTCATGATGCCTCTGAAGTTGTATTCAAAAGTTATGCCAAATAACTTAAGTGGTTAACATAATATTCACCAAAGAAATAGTTCAAATCCAGAAGAAATTATAGCTTGGGAGCATAACAATATCTTGATTCTAGATTATGCCTGTCCACTGAAGAAACAGTAAGTATCCTTTATCGAAAATGCTTGAAACCAGAAATGTTCCAGAATTTAGATTTTGGACTACATGCATATACATAATGAAATATCTTGGATATGGGACCCACATCTAAACACAAAACTTATTTATGTTTGATATATACCTTATGCACACAGCCTGAAAGTAATTTTATACAATACTTGTTGTGTGCCTATATTCTGATTATGACCTGCCACATGAAGTCAGGCATAGAATTTTCCACTAGTGATATCATGTAAGGTTCAGATTTTGGAGCATTTTGGATTCTGGATTTTCCAATTAGGAATCCTCAATCTATATTCTGTCTCAGAAGCAACTCTTATTGCTCTGACTCTGGCTAAAATAGAATAATTTTCCCCATTTGAGAACATACTCTAACAAACTACTGAATCCATAGAGATGGTATGAAACTAACAGAATTCATCTATAAAGTTTCAGAAACAAGACAACAGTTTAGTGTCCAGCCTGAGTCACAACAAAATACACTCTCTCTCTCTCACACAAGCACAAGGTCCTGAGTTCAATCCCCAGGACTAAAAAAATAAAAAGAGAGACTTTAAATGTTATGTTAATGATAACAGGAACAAAAAATAGATCAATGAGTGATTGCCAGGGATTAGGGTAGGAGAAGAAGTTAACTATAAAGAGACAACATGAAATCTGTTTTATTGGTGGGGGTTTTTTTTTTTTTGGTACTGGGGATCGAACTTGGGACCTTGTGCTCGAAAGGCAGGCCAGGCAGCAGAGTCACTGAGCTAAATCCCTGGCCCTGAGCAACATGAAATTTGGATGGTTATAGAACTGTTTTAAATGTGGTGATGCGTATTTATCAACACTATTAACACTAAAAATAAATAAAAATGTTAATGTATGATTGAAATCTGGACAAGAATACCTTTAAAAGCTACTAAAAATGTCAGAAATTTTTAGGATAATTTGTTTATTTCCCAGACCAAATAAGCCACATGACACCAAAATTCAATGTACCACATTCAACTACAACTAGTTTGATACTTTGAAGTACAAAATTATTAGAAAGGAAGTAAAATACTTTTCATTTTATGCAATACCGATTGTACACAGTAGGTAAACAAAACAAATTCCTAAACTAATATACAATTCAAAAGAATTTAGACTGATTTGGTCTTTTACTTCACAGGTACCTATAGATGTAGCTTTAAACAAAATTATTCACTTCTCAAAATATAAACAGGAAAGTATTATCCACAAAATGTACTAACCTGAATTTGTTCAGTCAATCAATAAAGGAAATAAAGCACTTTATGTTGAATGAAAGCACCATCAGAGTCATGGATGTTCTCTTAGCAAAAGCAGCAGCAACCTAAAACCCAAAAAATAGGAGTATCAACCCTAATCAAATTTCAATTAGCATTAATATACTTTTTAAAAACCTTTTATTTTCCTTTATATAGCCAGTCATAAATGTAAATTCACTTGTACATTCACTCATTCTACAAGCAGTGCTTTTGAAATGTCAACAAGGAATTGAATTTTCGTTTCGCAAATTACACCCCAACTCAGTGTTGTAATTTGCTTCATAGTTCTCTCAAAGTAAGTCTGTATCCATAGAATTTTCTTTGTGAACACACAATTATTTCATTTTCTCCACTGTTTAACATATAGGCCAATCAATAATGTCTCTTTTCTTTAGACTACAACTTGACATCTACATCTCCCACGTCCCAATTAGCTCTACAACCTACCAAAGTTACTATCTTCTACACAAACTTCCACAAGACAATTTAATCTGCTTGCTCCCACAGAACAAGTTTATGATTCTCAGCTGTCACTCTGAAATACACCCTTCTTTCTTTTATGGAACAGGGAATTTTTCTCCCTTACCCTCTTTGTCAATCAAAGCACATCTATCAACTTTCTTGAAAGCCAGCCTTCTCTGTAATTCCCTGTCTGAAAACTAATGTAATTATTCTGTACTCCATTAATCTTTGCTAGAATACTTTTCTAAAAAATATAAGTATTCTGATTAGGGATTCACCCTATCTCTTACTTTTGTTCCTTTGTCTCCATTATCTAGTATCATGTTTGACACGGTAAGTATTCAATATGATGAACCAACAAGAAAATCGTCTTAATAAAGAGTCACACATCAAATGTTCACTGCAGGGGGGGGGGGGGGTTGTGCAGGTCACTTGGGTACAAAACTCAAGAATCATATAAATACAATACTTTCTATGGAAATGCCTGTCATTTACTAATGTGTTACATGAGATTATTTTCAGGTTGACATTACTAGTTGTGAGCAGTTCTTTTCCATTAACACCAAAGCCTACTGAAAACAATTTTAGGCAATTAGAACTAACATAGAACCACCACAAAGGTAATCTCACTACTTACATTTTTAAATTCTAAGAGTCAAAAGTCTTTTCTGGACTGGGGATATAGCTCGGTAGTAGAGTGTTTGCTAGCATGTGTAGCCCTGGGTTCAAGCCCAGCCTGGGTAACTTAGCTACTTTGCGAGACCCTGTCTAAAAATAAAGAACTAGAGAGTAGCTCAGTGTGAAGGCCCTAGGTTCAGTCCCCAGTACCAAAAAAAAAAAAAAAGAATAAATTACCTTAAACACAAAATCATAAGTGCTTTTGTATGGTGTTTTATTATTTTATTATTTACATTATCTCATCGGAACAACCTATTCAAAGAGGGCAAATAACTCCCAAAGCCCATAAACATGTAATTTCTAAGTAGCCATGAAATCTAAAATCAGCCAAAATTCACTGTAATTCATTATAATTTCACCTGAAAGTTTCTGTCAGCCTCCCACAATAATCCAGTATTGTGGCATAACCAGTACCAAATTTACCTTCATATAGTAAACAGCTACAAAACTAGATAAAATATATCGTAACAGTTTGCATACACCAAACAAAAATTAATACAGGTCTAATGTTCCTCAAAAGAAGGAAACAAACCAGCTAAGTCTCATGAGCCCTATGGCTCTCTGCCAGGCGGTATATTGATACCACAGCAAGGAGAAAGATTCAAAGCAAAATACAGAGGTTTTGTTAACTTGAAGAGACAAGGCAGGAGTTCATTACAGTGGAGCTGGTAGGAATTACTGGAGTAATGTATCAGAAGGGAAATAGCTATGCAGGAAAAAGCTCCAGACATCTACACATCTACACTTAGGGTGAAATTCCATGACACCAAGCAAAATACAACTGTTGGGAGCTTAAAAATGAACAATTTAGGAGTAACAATCAGCTGAGACTTGAGAATTCCATCCAGCTTTGGTGAGAGACTTCCTTTACACAACAGGCAATAAATAAAGAGACCTTAGTAGGGCTAAATTAGTCCTAAAATAAAGACTGTTCTATACTGAACCCAACAGAATTTAACAAGTCTTGTAACCCTTACTCAACACCTGTAACAACCAGGCAAAATGAAACGGCCTCTAATTTAAGGGGAATCTACCAAAGAATTCAGAAGTGTTTTGCCTCAAAATATTCAGAAGTGGGGCCAATCTTATATTAAATAATCCCACTTAACAATGATTAAAAGCAATGCCTAAAAGACAAAAAAATTGTTTTCCAAATAACTTAAATACATCCAGAAAAACTCTCAAGAATATTTGTAAGAATACAAAACTACCACCTCATCTTTGACAAAGGAGCCAACCACCCTCATTGGAGGAAAGATAGCCTATTTAATAAATGGTGCTGGGAAAACTGGATTTCAGCCTGCCAAAGATTAAAACTAGACCCATACCTATCACCATGCACTAAACTAAGATCAAAG